GTGATGATTTAAAATGTCGATCCAACTCATTCTGTGATGGAATTGAACGGGACGTCGGTGCTGATCTATATCTTTCTGTGATAGAATCGAGCAAAAAGTTGATGTTGATCCAACTCCTTCTGTGATAGATTAAGATGTCGATCCACCTCTTTCTGTGATGAATTTGAATGTCGATATGTCTCTTTCTGTGATGGATTTGAAATGTCGATCAACCTCTTTCTGTGATGGATTTGAATGTTGATCCATCTCTTTCTGTGATGGATCAAAATGTCGATCCACCTCTTTCTATGATGGATTTGAATGTCGATCCACCTCTTTCTGTAATGGATTTAAAATGTCGATCCACCCCTTTTTATGATGGATTTGAATGTCGATCCACCTCTTTCTGTGATGGATTTGAATGTCGATCCATCTCTTTCTGTAATGAATTTAAAATGTCGATCCACCTCTTTCTGTGATGAATTTGAATGAAATGAAAATATCGATCCACCTCCTTCTGTGATGGAATCAAACGAGATGTCGGTAGTGATCTAGCTCCTTTTGTGATAGAATCGAGCGAAAAGTTAAACAATTTCTTTTCATTATGAATTCAATACTGGAAATGTTTATCTTCTCTTCAAGGTTTTTGAATTGATTTCAGTCCATGAAAGATATGGATTGATTCTCTGCGGAAGTTGTGAAATGAATCTTTCGTTGATTCTCTGAGTTCCTGTCATGTTTTCAAAACTTTATGTAAATGTATGCATATGCTCCTATTCAATGAATGCATGAGTATACATGATGTGTTCTTTGGGTTTTTAGGGTTTTATAAGCCTTTGTTTTCCCATTTTTATCCCTGTCGAATCTCTGTCTTTGTCGGCTTTTTGTTTAATTCGTGATCCTTCTCATTAGTTTCTGTGTTATTCGGGCTGTTGTCATTTCTTGGTTTGCCCTTTCATCAATCCTTTGCTTTAATTAGTGCAAATATCGACCAAATGGATGGCCTTGGATTCCCATTATTTTACAGGTCAATCAAAAGTAATACCGAGAATTTTTTGGAATTTGTATTATGCTAAGTTATTTGCGGCACACATAAAAAAATGAGTTGAAGATTGAAATGACACTCGTGAAATTTATTGACAAAAGAGAAGTTTTATACAAAGCCATGGAAATCAAAAAAATTGAACAAAGACTCTGGCAACAAATTAGCATATATCCTAATGAATTCTAGCACAATTGTTCTTGCACCATTTGATTTGACACCCCGAGGTGGTCCTCTGTGAAGTCCTTCATGAATGCCTCCATATCAAAATGTATTTGAGCTGCCCTTTTTGGGTTTTTGACTCAAATCCTCCTGGTTTCAAAGTGCACTTTACGGTTTTCACCTCGAACCTTTCCTTTTTTCTTTTTTTTTTTTTTTTTATTTTTCTTCTCAGGAGTAGTATTTCTTGACAGATTCTGAATTTATAGGGGTTTCAATACTCTTCCATCCATCTCCGCTAAAATTAAAGCTCCCCCAAAGAATGCCTTTTTGACAACATAGGGACCCTCCCAATTAGGCATCCATTTTCTGTGGAAATCCTTCTGGATTGGCAAAATCTTTTTCAATACTAGATCTCCCTCTTTGAACTCTCTTGGGCATACCTTTTTGTCGTGGGCTCTCATCATCCAAAATTAAGCTCCCCCAAAGAATGCCTTTTTGACAACATAGGGACCCTCCCAATTAGGCATCATTTTCTGTGGAAATCCTTCTGGATTGGCAAAATCTTTTTCAATACTAGATCTCCCTCTTTGAACTCTCTTGGGCATACCTTTTTGTCGTGGGCTCTCATCATCCTCTTTTGATACATTTGTCCATGATATATAGCATTCAACCTTTTCTCTTCAATAAGATTCAGTTGATCAAGGTTAGACTGAATCCATTCAGCTTCATCCAACCCCACTTCTTTCAAGACTCGAAGTGATGGAATTTCAACCTCAATAGGTACGACTACCTCTGTTCCATATACCAGAGAGAAAGGCGTTGCCCCTGTCGATGTTCGTACGGTTATTTTATACCCATAAAGGGCAAAAGGTAATTTCTCGTGCCAATCTCTGTAAGTTTTTGTAGTCTTCGTAATGATCCTTTTGATGTTCTTGTTTGCTGCCTCTACTGCCCCATTCATTTTCGGGCGATATGTAATAGAGTTGGCATGCTTTATCTTGAATTGCGAACAAAGTTCATCAATCATCTTGTTATTCAGATTAGTAGCATTGTCTGTGATTATTCTTTCTGGCAATCAATATCGACATATTATTTCCCTCTTTATGAATCTACAAACTATAGATCTTGTGAAACTGGAATAGGAAGCGATCTCTACCCATTTTGTGAAGTAATCAATTGCTACTAAGATGAATCGATGCCCATTTGAAGCTTTCGGTGTGATTGCCCCAATGACGTCCATACCCTACATATAGAATAGTTAGGGTGAGCTCATAACGTGTAAAGGTGACGGTGGTGCCTGAATTTTATCTGCATATATCTGGCATTTATGGCATCTTCTCACGTAATTGAAGCAATCTGTATGCATCATGGCCTAATAGTACGCATATCTCATGATTTTTCTGGCCATGGACAAACCATTTGCATGCTTTTCACACATTCCCCCATGCACCTCTTCCATCACATTCTTTGCTTCTTTGGCAGTTACACATCTCAGTAACTTATATACAGGATTTCCCCATCAAGGAAGTATTCAGCTGTCACTCTTCTGATTGTTTTCTTGTCAATTTCAAATGCACCGGGGGGATATGCTTGGTATCTCATATACTGCACAATATCGTGGTACTATGGATGACCATATATTTCTTCTTCTAGATGACAGCAGTGAGCCGGGGACTCGTATACTTGCATCCTTATGGGCATCATGTTCATTCTCTTATTAGCTTTAAATATTGCTACTAAAGTACAATGCGTCTGTCATTTGATTGTCCTCTCGGGGGAGATATCTGAACGTGACATCCTCAAATTCTTTTAGTAATTTGAGGACTAAATTTTTGTATTCGACTAGCTTTGAGTCTTTTATCTCCCATTCTCCCCTTAGTTGGTACACTACTAACGAGAAATCTCCATATATTTTGAGCGTTTTGATCTTTCTTTCAATGGCCGCTTTTATTCCCATAATGCATGCTTCGTATTCTGCCATATTATTGGTGCAAAAGAAATCTAATCTGCTTGTGAAAGGATAGTAAATCTCCTTTTGGAAATCAGCATTGTCACAATTCCATTTCCTAAAGCGTTAGAGGCGCCATCAAAGTACAAAGTCCAGGATGGTAGCCCAAACTAAGGCACAACACAACTTTTGAATAGGGAGTACGAGTCTCGCAATCGGTAAACTTCTACTCAGTAATAAATGACTCTTTCTTTTCTTCCTGATTCATCATGTTGCCCTAGTACATAACCCATTGAATTCTCGAAAACTGTTAAATAGAGAATTAATGGTTTGTAAGGTACTGGTGATACTAATATATGGGTATTGGACAAGTACCTTTTGATGACTTCCAAAGCCTCATGGCATTCACCATTCCATACCTCAGGATTATTCTTTTTGAGCAATTTGAATACCGGATCACAATTGTCAGTAAGCTGAGAAATGAATCGCGATATATAATTTAACCTTCTTAGGAACCCTCCAACTTCTTTCTATGTGCGTGGTGCTGGCAGGTCTTGAATTGCCTTAACCTTATCTGAATCTATCTCGATTCCTTTCTGGCTCACTACGAAGCCTAATAATTTCCCAGATTTTACTCTGAACATGTATTTAGCTAGATTAAGCTTCAATTGGTACTTTCTTAATCGATGAAATAGCTTTCTCAAATTTTGTACATGCTCTTCTTCCGTTCTGGACTTGGCAATCATATCATCCACATATACTTATATCTCCTTGTGCATTATGTCGTGGAAGAGAGTCACCATGGTTCTTTAATAGGTTGCCCCAACATTCTTCAACCCGAATGGCATTACTTTATAGAAGAAAGTTCCCCACATGGTTATAAACGTTGTTTTCTCCATATGTTCAGTGTTCATTTTGATCTGATTGTACCATGAGAAGCCATCCATGAAGGAAAACCATGAATGCCCCGCAGTGTTATCCACCAGGGTGTATATATGAGGTAAGGGGAAATTGTCCTTTGGGCTAGCCTTGTTAAGGTCTCGATAATCTACACACATGCGGACCTTCCTATCCTTGTTATGTACCGGTACTATATTGGCTACCCACTCATGATATTTTTCCTCCTAAAGAAAACCTCCATCAATTTATTTTAATACTTCTTCCTTAATCTTTAATAACATCTCTAGTTTCATCCTTCTGAGTTTTTATTAGACGGGTTTTCATTCTGGCTTAATGGGCAACGTGTGAACTACTATATTAGTACTTAGCCCTGGCATATGTTGATATGACCAAGCAAAGACGTCTTTGAACTCCTGGAGCAAACTTATCAACTCTAGCTTTATTTCTGCGGATAGAATAGTGCCAATCTTTATTTCTCTCTGTACGTCCACGGTCCCGAAGTTTACAAGTTCTACTTCTTCCTTGTGGGGTAGGATTTGTTTCTCATCTCTTTTCACCAACCTTAATAACTCACTAGGGACTTCACAGTCTTCTTCATCTTTACATTCATTGACTTCTTCCAAACATGGTGGTCACTCAAAATTTGTCTTGCAACTGGCCTCAGGAACAATTATGCTAGTATTATTATGACATCTACATGAAATTTGACTCGGATATATTGGAGAGTAAAGAAATAAAGAATATGATGTAATGAAAAATGAAGAATTTGGAGATTTGTAGAATAAAGAATATAATATGAAGAACATAATGAAATAATGTGAAAAATGAAAATGATTGTCATTTGAGGAAAATATCTTTTATTGATTGATGGGATAAGCGTGAGATATTTTTTAGATGCTAATACAAATTATTTTTGGGCATTACTTTGGATTGACCCTAAAAACTTTGGGGAGGTCATCGACTGTCTACTTTTCGAGCTTTTCACCAGATAAGCATGGACGGATTCCAGCTAGAAACTTCCCAGGTTGGTTGCCTCCATAAATCATATTGATTGACAGTCCTTTTAGAGCTTCGCTTGTCATCTCAGTTTCGATGGTGCTGGTCAGCTGTTGTTCTACGTTGTACACTCCTCCAAATTTGAAAGAGCTGATCAGGGGAGGAAAGAACATGCATTCTCCCGAGACATACTCTCCTCTCAGTCTGGCCTTTCTCGCCTTATTCTTTTTCTCCATTTTTTGACCCCGCTGTTGGAAGGTGGGCTTAAATCCGAGCCCGAAATGGTCATTCTTCAACTCAACAGTTATGGTTCGTACTTACCCCTGTAGCTCTTTTCCCAGTCCTTTATCAATCCTTGCTCCTCTCCCTAGGGTTTACCTCACTATCATCTTAGTACAATTCGACAGTGTGGGTGTGGGTCGCAGAATTCTACTACCTTCAGCTACATATGTTGCATTGATGAATTCCAAAGCCCTGAATGAGCACTCCAAGGCATCCTCATTGATGTCAATATACGTGAAGCTATGATTTCTTGTTCAGCCCCAATGCTGACCAATCTTTCATCAATTACGAAATTCAGCTTCTGATGCAGGGATGAAGGAAATGACCCTGCCTCATGGATCCAAGGTCTCCCTAATAAACAGTTGTATGTCGGGTGGATATCCATTATCACAAAATCAGCATTGTAAATAGCAGGCCTGATTATTAAGGGTATTTTCATCTTTCCTATCACATCATTTTGGGTTTCGTCAAATGCCCTGACGATGTTATGATATGCTCTCATGTGTGAGCTATCAATGGGCATCCTTTGCAGTGTAGCTAAGGGCATTACATTCAGTGCCGACCCATTATCTAATAAGAACCCATGAAAGGACATGATCGTAGCAGTGCATCGTGATGTTTAAAGATTTAATGGATCTCATCCCTCCTTCCGAGATCTCTTCATCAGTGAAGGTAATATAGTTGTCAGCAGCTATGTGTCCCACAATTCGGTCCAATTTATTCGTCGAGATATCCTCGGGAACAAATGTTTTGTTGAGCACTTTTAGCAAGGCGTTCTGATGTACTTCGGAATTGATCAAAAGATCCAAGATTGAGATTTTTGCCTGCTGTTTGTGAAGCTGCTCCACTATATTGTATTCACTGTGCTTAAGAAACCTCAAAAACTCACAACCTTGAGCTTTAGTCACAGGCTCGTTAATGATCGGTGGAGGTTCTTCATTGAAAATATTTGGCACTACGACGGCTTTGGCTTTAGATTTTCCTTTGTCTACCTCGGGGGACGTTTCTGGTGAGTAGCATCTTCCGCTTCGTGTGAAATGTCCCACCTCACTTACTTCTTCTGAGCTTGATTTATTTTCCTCGTTTGTTCTTTCAAACATCTTGGACCCTTCCGGTATTGATACGTTGGCTACATAGCTCCAAGAACCTGTCGGGTATCCTTGAATGGGAAGGGGGACGGAGTTGTAATCACCACCCTTGGAGTTGTTTATGATGATCTCTCTTGTCTCGAATTAACTGTGATGACTATCGACCTTCTTGTCCTCGTCATCCTGCCCGAGCCATCAATCATACATATATATATTTCTCTTGGTTTCTCCTCTTTACTGAAAAATTCCACTTCTCCGCTATCCATCATTTTCTGAAGCAATTCTCGAAATTCAGGACAATTCTGGATATCATGGTCCTCAGTTTGGTGATGTTCGCAGTATGTTTCTCATTCCAATGGCCTTGATTCGGGATTACCCTTAATCATTCTGATGTACACAGCTTCCTGAACACCTAACAGAGGGGAGATTTAACTTCTGACATATTTCTCTTGGTCATTCCGATCTCTCCTTCTTCGACCATGTTGATTCCTTGCCCCCAATGATTGGGCATAGGGTGAGTATTTACAGCTGGTGTTTTGAATTCCAAATCTCCAGCGTTGATAAGGTTTTGTACAACTTTCTTAAAATGCAGGCAGTACTCGATATCATGCCCAGTAATCCCTGTGTGGTATTCGCAGTGAGCATTGGCATTATAGCAGTGAGCATTGGCATTATACCAGTGAGGGTAAGGTGGCTGCATCGGAGTTAATTTGTAAGGGCATATTAAATCTACCTTCAAGAGCGAGGCGTAGATTTATGAATATGGTACTGACACTGGTGAGAAAGTCGGTCTTGTATTCTCCCTTCTCTTTCCTCTATTTTCATGAATATTGGTCCTCTCTGCCTTAGGCTGAGGAATTGTAACACTAGTTGCGCAGTTCTTGTTATAAGTACTCGTATGATTTACTTCGTTTCTTTCTTTTTGAAATAGGGCTTCTTCGACCCTTCTCCTCTTTCAATCTTGTCACTTCTAATGGTATTTTCGATTAATTCTCCAGAAAGAACCAAGTCAGCAAAATTCTTGGTAGCATTTCCTAACATATGCCCCAGATATGGAGCCTTCAGGATATGCACAAAGATAATTGTAGCCTCCTTCTCCAACAATGGGGGTTGTACTTGTGATGCCACATCACGCCATCTTTGGGCATACTACCTGAAGGTTTCGATGTGTCGCTTTTCCATGTTTTGCAACGTCCACATGTTAGGCACTAGTTCGGTGACGTGACGATATTGTTCATAAAATGCCCGAGCCAAGTCCCCCCATGATTTGATTTGGGATCTGGTTAACTGATTGTACCATTTGATTGTTGATCCAGTTAGACTGTCCTGGAAGTAATGTATCAGTAGCTTCTCATTTTCAGTATACCCTGCCATTCTTCTGCAGAACATAATGAGGTGGGCCAATGGGAAAGTAGTTCCATCATATTTTTCAAAGTCTGGTGCTTTGAACTTCGGGGGCAGTATTAGATCAGGAACCAAGCTTAGCTCCTTTATGTCTATTCCGTAGAATGGCTCCACCTCTACTGACCTTACTCTTTTCTCCAGGCTTTTCACCTGCTGAGTTATTTCGCTGTCAACCTTTCATTTTTATGATATTTCCTGAAAGTCACGTGGCAACTCCTCCACGCCTAACTCAATAGGTCTTACCCTAACAGTCGGTGGGTAATTGGTTTGATATGCAGGCTTAGTGTGATTCTGTTGATTTTCCATGTAAACTCCTAGGCGAGCTTCCTGCAAAGCTTGCGATCTAACAGAAATGTGCACTGGGGTGAAACCAGGAGGATGTGAAGGGTCTGGTGTATTTTCCATGTAAACTCCTAGGCGAGCTTCCTGCAAAGCTTGCGATCTAACAGAAATGTGCACTGGGGTGAAACCAGGAGGATGTGAAGGGTCTGGTGTAAACCTTAGTGGGTGCTGGGGGTCAGATGTAAACCCAGTATGATGCGATGCTCCTGGTCCAAACCCTGAAGGATGTGAGGGATCTTGCTCAGATAACGTTGGCTGATCAATCCAGTGTTTCCATTCATAGCATGTTTCTTAAATATTCCTTCGATCTTTTGCAACAAACTGTCTTGCGAGTTTGCCATCTCTGCCTCCATCTTATTTAGTCTCTCTCTCATTTCTTCTTGAGCTTGCCTTTAGTCTTGTTCAAGCTGAGCCATTCTTGCTTCCATTTTCTTGGTTGTTTTACAAGTATCGTACAAATGTGAGGTGAGTGCCAGGATAACTACAAATGGTTAGAAATTATATTTTATTATTTGGTGAATTTTAATGAATGAATGAATTGTTATAATGTATTCATTTAGTTTTTAAACATTTAGAGAAAAGCCTATGAAAACATAGAATCTTACCCTATCCCCTAATCTTTCAAGCTCTATCATCAATCCCATGATGCGTCATTCTTCTTCTGACTCCAGGACCACAAAAACTCTTAGGACTGTCGCTTCTTCGGATAATTCGTAGACTTGGTGAGCAACACTGCGGGCCTGATTCACCGCTCTCCCTATTGCTTCATGTTGACTCTGAATGGTGTCCTGAGCCTGTCGTAGCGTGGTTCCAAGCTATGAATTAGTCAATGGTCGGCTTTCTTCTAATTGTTGGATTCACTGATGGCCTTTCTGTACTGCAACTTCTAGCTTAGCAATCTTGGCTTTTAAGGCCTCATTCTCCTACATGGCTATATCTTGTGCGGATGAGTGGATCAACCTTGCTTCTTCTAACTTTGTTATCCTTTTCATTAACATCTCATTTTCTTTTTGAAGATGAAATGCATCGCTGTTGTACGAGTTCTGAAAAGTCTTATCCATACTAAGTAGTTGTGCTTCGAGCCGTTCAATCTATGCCCGCCTCTGTGCTAGTTTCTGGTTAGCCTCATCTCTCTGCTCTCTCAGTCTCTGAGCGTGCTGTAAGGCTCGTTTCTTTTCTTCTTGGCCTCTTCTTGCGCTTCTTTCGACCCTATCGAGCTTTATTTTTAGGGCCTTGGCAGTATGGTGTAGACTCTGGGCTCTCATGTTCTTTTCTAAGGCCCGAAAATCTTGGTTGAGCACATCAAAGCTTTGCTGGACTTTCTCTTTTTCTTTGGATAACTGTTTTATTATTCCGTCTTTCTTGATCAACTCAAGCTCTCACATTGTCTTCTCATCCGATAAGCTTCTCTGATCTTTTTCTCGCTTTAGATTCCTCAATCGCATTTCTTCTCTTAACAATTCAACCTCGGTTGGGAGTTTCCTCAATCGTTCCTCCATGGTTAACTTGTCTTCTAAATTTGGCCTCTATGTGTTGTTATTAATTCTCTGCGATCTCTAAACCTCATAAGTTGGTGTAAATACAGACTCTATCATTTTGAAGTTCATGTAGTGGGGCTTCTACCATGCCATATAGATTTTCGAAATTCGTTCCCGGTAACCTGGAGTAGAGAAAGAAAACTCTGCCTCCTTCAAGCCGTGGGTAGCTGGTACAAAATGTCTGGTGCGAAACTGTCTTAGTACAATTAGCGGAGTATACCCGATTGCTCCCCATAATCTGTGCAGCATTACTAAGCTATCGTTACCGTACCTGAAAAGTATGTCCTCTTTAGGTAACCAGTAGGCCTTCCACACAATCTTAGTATCTTTTATGTTACAGAATGCTTCAACCCAATCTTTCCTCTTACGATGCTCCGAGATTCGACATTTGTCAAGGAAATCCACTATAGGCGAAAAAATTTGATTGATGTCTTCGAGCCCAACCATTCTCAACTATCCAGGAACGGTTCCACCACTAAACTAGTAATAATGAGGCACATCTGGTGAACTAACCTCCTCCTAGTCACCTACACTGGTTCAATGATAGGAATGTTTCTGCGAGAATGGCTAGTGCATGATTCT